ATCTTAACCCCGGATCTAGCTTCTCGTGAAAATCACAATCCGTCCCTCACGACTGCCCTGGAAGTTACTTCTCTTGCTCCTGGGTGAGAAGCACAATAAGGGAGGGAAGGTTTCTTTTGGCTTACAGTTGAGGGGCTCTGTCCATCACAGCAGAGAAGGCCTGGCAGCAGGATACCAAGCCAGTTGTTTACCCAACATCAGTGAGGAAGCCAGGAGTGAGTGGATAGAAAATGAGTGTGTCTGAGGAGATTCAAGACCCTCCCCTAGGGGCCATATCCTCCAACAGGGCTCCACCTCCTAAAGATTACAGGGCCGTCCAAAACAGCCCCATGGACTGGGAACCACCCATACGAACACATGAGTCGGTGGGGTGCATTTCACACTGCCACAGCAACACACAGACAGTCTTATGCTTAGACTATCATAGTTACCGATTAACACAGAATCCACCTAGATGTAATTCCTTGGTATACTAGTCTTTAAAAAAAGATCATAAAGCAATTAATACAAAGAAGCCACCATAGCAAACAAAATTTCCACCCAGTATCCATTTGCTGAAGCTCTGCTCTGCTTCAGGCATACAAAAATTAAACTTCATGATAGACTATCAAAAAAATTAAGAGCCCAAACTGTGGAGTAGATGGCAGAGAAATAAGAGAAATAAGTAAGGATTTTACAAAGGCTGTAAGCTTCCGACAAGGTGCCGAACAGACTAAGAAATGAACTGAGTTCTGTTCTTCTGTATATAGTCAGCAGCCGTGGGAGCTCAATCAAGTCAATGTAAAACAGAAACGCGTTGCATGAAGTAAAACGAGCTGGTGCATAGAAAGTATCGAACGCAGAGCTTGCACGGAGTATCTACTTAATAGATTATTCATTAAGCATGCTCTCAATATCAACTGCAAACTAGTAACGGCTTTTCCTTTCTGAAGAGCCTGTCACTGTTGTTAGTACGTACAAAACCTCAGCGTTTACTAACTGCATACAGGCTGAACGGCAGTGCACGGAGAGGAAAGTCAACAACGAAGCCCAGGGAAGTCTGAAACTCCCTTCTGCCCCTCTCCCTCTGAGAATTTTCCCCTTTTTTAATTGCTGCACACGGTTGCCACTTTGCCACAGTAAGACGGTGGGATTGTTTTCCTAACCCTACTCAGTAACAGATCTTTCTATCTCCCACCCTGTTATTATTAAGTGATATGAAACACTACAGTTCTCCTAAGTCCTACGTGGATGGCCTCAAAGGTTTGGGACCTGCTAGAAGAGCACATGAATGTCAGGTACGTGGGTAGCAAACCATGCTCAGTTGCTGCATGTGTCCACGTTTCTGAGGCTGGTTGGAACAAGTGTCATTATTTCCCTCAATCCTTTGAACTTGGTTCCCACTTTCTGCCACCATGGCTAACATATCTGAGTTCCCCACAGCATGCTAATAGTCATTTACTAATTACCTATTGTAAAACTAGCTGCTATGAGGAGAAAATCAGAAAACCACGAACCAGTGAAGAAATGGCACTGTCTCCAAGTCCTTGCTATAGCTCAGTCGCAAAGTATACACGGCATGTGACATTTCATACTGGGTCCAGATGTCTCTTGTTGACAAGAGTGCATCCGTGAAATCAGCAACTCTCCAGTCAGAAGAGAGCAAGTTCAGATCAACTCCTTCTTGTTTAAGAACACTATAACCTAGGAAAAGATGCTAAATTGTTTGCCAATTCTGATCAATTTATGGGATGGATTAGACCCATCATTGGGTAGTTTGATAAGGATCAGAAGAGCTACCTCCAATCCACTCTCAGCACAGAGCACACAACTGTATGCTTGGTAGTGTGTTTTCTGATAACTTTAGTTGCTAATGTAAGATTATTCAATATCTGCCACAATTAAAGTTATAATCTGCTGTAAAAGAAATCGGTGTCAATTGTATGATGGACAGAAGTCAGGAAGGTGGAGCAGCAATCTGGACAACAGCACCAGCAAACAGAATTAACATATAAAAGAAGTGGGGGGATGGGAATGCATATAAACCCCCTCAAAACAACACTTTTTAAAAAGGTATGGAGGTCAACACAAAATAAGGACAGTCAGTCCATGTGGGAAGCTGGAACGCTCAGAACTGGTGGCCTGCGCTATGTACATTAAGAAGATATAGGGGTAGGAACCAGGTTATATATTGGAGACCTTTCCCCAAATATATGTAAACAAATGTTATTCTACAACTATAAAAGACACACACATGAAATTTGAGTCTAAATCTACAAATTATATTTATGTTTCTTTCTCCTTTAAGTTTTCTGTAAGAAAAAAATATCCAGTGCACTTGGTGTCCAGTTCAAAGTCCTTGTGGGAGGAGTCACCATGAACATGGGCTCCCCCTCTAGGTAGCTAGACAGAATATTAGCATTTGAATTACCTGTTAGCTCCCAAAGGGCCAGAATGCACAGTGCGAAATTTCGGGTTTGAGAAAGGAAACAAATAAAGCCATAAAAAGCATCATTGAGTGGTGGTACGTGCCTTTAGTCCCAGCACTCTGGAGGCAGAGACAGGCTGATCTCTGTGAGTTCTAGGTCAGCCTAGTCTACAAGAGCTAGTTCCAGGACAGCCAGGGCTGTTACACAGAGAAACCCTATCTCGGAAACAAACAAACAAACAAATAAATAAATTCAACAATAAAATCAGCGCCTGGAAGGATGTCAGCAAACCTGCCCTTGTTTCTGTGAATGTTTCTTTTCTTTGTTTAAAAGCAAAGCTGGAGCACAGGAAGAATAACAGTCATAAATAATCAAATGAATATGAAGGCAAAACAAAACAAAAAATGCTCCTTAACCCTGACCTAGTGTTATTCCAACTCAGAATCCCACAGACAGTCCATCAAAAGAAGATAAATTACATCAAAAACAAACAAAACCAATTGCAGGTCATGTGCTGGAAATGCAAGGGTAAGGTAAACTATAATCTGCCTGATCACAATGAAGGGATATAATGATTATAGCGAAAAAAAAAGGATGAAAAATATCAAAACACTCAAAATTAGTATCTTTCCAGAAAATAATTATTTTTGTTACAGCTAATATTTTTCATACAACCAAAATCAAATGACTATGAACTAGAGACATTTAGATCAAAATAGAAAACTTACTTCTCTTTCAGATAATTGTAAATATTTTACACCGCTTTTTCATCTCATTAGTGTAAGTCCCAAGTCCCGGTCTCTGGCCTCCATCTTTGGAGGCCCCGTCCCTGTGCCTGCCAAGCCTTGACCAACTCCCCGGAGGAGGGTTAAGACACTTAATATTTTAAATTTCATCCTTCTCACATACTTTTAAAGGTAGCCTCTGTGTTCACTCATTTTTATCTCACTGAAGAGTTCTTAATCCAATCCTTTCAGAGAGAAAGCAGGAGGATCAAGGCAAATCTGAGGGCCAGGCTGATTTACATAGCAAGCTCTAGGGCCAGCCAAGGCTACATGTTCAGAGCCTGTCTTCAAAAATGCAAACCCTGGTTTCCGTCTCAGCCCCTAAGGGCTGTACTATTGTACTGCGTGTTGTAGGTTTAAATGCAAGGGAGTCATATAAGATGGGGAACAAAGTGCTCCTCGGCTGTACTAGAAAGCTTGTGCGCAAGCCAGGCATGGAGCTTCATGACTTCCACCCTACACTTGGAATGCTAAGGCTGGAAAATGGAGAGTTTAAGGCCAGAGCAAGCAAGACCCTATCTCACAAAAGGAAAATAAATAAATAGGCATGCATGCACGCGAACTGTTCATTTTAAGTGAGCTCTATGTTTGATATATTCTGCCACAGTCTAGGGTCTTGGAGCTTTGCCTCAGCTCCTAACCCCACGCTAACTTAATATTTTGGAGAGTACCAGCAGCATTGACAGCTAGTCTTTGTAGCTGACCCGTCCATAATCCAAACCAAAAACAACAGCAAAATTTATTGAGGAAAACATTATAATACTAGAAAAAATTTTTATGTCTTCCCAGATAAAATATTATACCATGTTTACAGACACTCTCTGACAGAAGCAAGAGCGATTAGGGCAACCTTTTCACAACTCGCATTCTGCTGCCTGGAGAGTATCTATTATATAATGGTATAATATAATATTGTACTTTCAAATCAAAATGCAGAGACATGCTGATAAGGGAAATTAAGTAAAAAAAAACACATAAATTCAGATTCCACCAAGAGACACAGAATACTTAAGGATATGCACTGTATGAAAACTAACTAATTAAATTTAATGAAATAAATTGTGGCTCCACGTGGTTCTTTGGGAGGAGAAAATACAACAAATTTAGGACATTAGCCCCTAAAAATAACTTTCATGTTTAGCAGAGCAAGAACTTTGAGAAATTGACAGATATTTTTTAAACAATTTTGTATTCATTTCATATTGCATTAATACAGAGTGGTGTTCTTTACCCATATTTATTAAGTTCTTTATACTTTGGAAATAATTCATTGTTTTCAAATTTATTGAAAGTTTTAGAAAGAAATCGCCATTCTGAACTCCTCTTAGTATGAATATACTCTGCAACTTCATAAAGGCCGCTCATCTCTGATGTCAAAATAAATTAATCTCAGAATTAGCCAGGATCTACTGATCCGCTTAAATTTATCATTGCCTTAGGATTCACAGAGCGGTGACAACATTGAAAAAGCCAGCTCCCCTTCCCTATCATAAAACTACCACGTTGCACCAGACGTATTTCCAGCATAGAAACGGACTCGTTGACATAGTGATGGTTTTTATTAGAGAAAGTTATTTGATAGTGTGAGCATAGTTTGTATTTGCTGCATTTCAAAGATTGTTATCACCTACTGCTGATGGAAATGTTTTCCTAACACATACTAATAATTCTGCATCCGGACGGGATCCTGAACAAGAACGTGAACTGCTGTCCTGCTGTGTATCTTGGAGCCGTGAGAACTGTGACTCCCCCAGGACAGCCACACCCTGGCTGTTAACCAGATGGATCCGCGAACAAAGCCACTCACCTCAGGCTCAGCGACAGCAGCTGCTCCTTGGACCTCAGCAGTTCCCCAACTTGAAAACTGGCACAACCCAGGAAACTCCTCTGAAAGTAAGGAAGAACGTTTGCCATCAACTCCCGAGACTCTTTCTATGTTTTCGTTCACACAGCAATTACACAGAATTAGTTTTGAAAAGAACAAACTACTGAATCAGTTAGCCCCCAGATATTTCACAGACAGAAATACAGCGCTGAAATAGCAACTTGGTTAAAGGCAGATACTGACAGCCTGGGAAATAAGAAGTAAAAGACAGCAGCCTGGTCTTCCCCACTGATAACTGCCTCCCCACAAGAAAACCAGTGTCAATGAATATGCTAAACTTTCAAAATTCACCAAGATCTCCAGTTACTAGAGTTCCTCAAATCACTGGCAACAGCAACTCTGTGTTCAAGATATGAGAAAATCTGCCTCTTGAAGCTATTTTTACATGGGCTCGGTGTGAGTTATAAATAGAAAGACAATATTTCTCCCCATCACAGAAGCATTTAGAAGCATTTGCTTCCTTTTGTTTTTTTGGTTTTTTTACTAGCCTGGGACAATTCCATCCCAAACACACAAATAAATAGTACTTCTGCTTTTTTTTTTTCTAAAATTAGTTTTTAAACATATCACAACCGGGTGTCATGCTTACCGGTAAACATTGGCTATCTACTCCTTTCTACTCAGTGTAAAGAATAAAACTGTACAAGGTAGTTCTTTTCTCTGGCTCGGGGCCGCAGTCTTTGGTCTGTTCCTGGCTGTTTCTGATGGGAAAGTGTCAGCATTATGGCTTGAACATCATGAAGAGTATCCCTGACCTTCCTCAATGACTAAACACAAAGGTGTCAAGTCCATATGGTCCCTTATGCCCTTGCTGATGGGCAGCACGGGATGCCCTGTAAGAGGTCAAAATCGCCTCTCCCAAACTTCCTCTCAGCACAACTCTGCTGCCAGACCATGCTTGAACAAGAGGCTGGGGTAAAGACCCTGACACAGTGAAATGCTTTCAGGAAAAAAAAAAAAAAGAATCATCCCACACACCAAGAGAGGCAGCATATATACTGAATTATTGTTGAAAGTTATTAATGTGTGTGTGTGTGTGTGTGTGTGTGTGTGTGTGTGTGTGTGTGTGTGTGTTGCCTGTGTATATGTGTTAGTGCACTTGGGTGAGCAAGGAAGCCAGGATGAGGAATCACTGTGAGTTGCCCTGTGAGTTCTGGGAACCAAAATCAGATCCTTTGCGAGAGTAGTCAGTATTCTTAACTGCTGAACCATCTCTCTAGCACCAGGTCAAAATTTTTTAACCTCTTTTCAAAACCCTACCACAGAAGGGCAGAGTTCAGAAGGGATTACAGACAGATATCTGGAAACACGACTTGGTTTTGAAATTGTACACAATCCTATTAATATTAGTCCCAAGTACGTAACTTGATCAAAATGCTATTACATGCACCTGGTCACCAAGGTCTGGAAATTCTGAACTCATATTGCTAGATGGAAAAATACTGAGTCAAACCAGAAAACCTAAGGAGCAACAGTGTAAGCACAAATGGAAGCTGAAAACCAACATCAGGGGCCTTATGAACAGAACACAAGAGGAAAGGGCGGAGGACACAGGAGCCACAGAGGCGCTTAAACTCCCTCCTCGGCGAGCAGACACAATGGAAGGCGCTCTCTCCCACGCTCTCTGTGGGTCGCTACTCCGCTACTCCGTGCTTTGTTTCTCCACTTATATTAAACACCACCTGATATATTCAAATGGCTTGTCTTCAACTCCTGCACATAATTGAGATGCCAAGTGCTACAACGATGAGGATTTTCTGTCACACTCTGCAGAATACACACCAGACGTGGGCACAAAACGCTAACCGGCAACAGATGAACGGATGAGGGACCGACAGACCCCAGTTTCCAAGTAAAGGACTCATTTATTTATTTTTAAGACAAGATCTCAACCAATAGCCTAGAAATTGCTACATAGCACGGGGTACCCTTGAGTATACAATTATCCCCCTGTCTCAGGCTCCTAAGAGTTGGAACGGTGGGCACGTACCAGCACATGCAGGTCAACCATGTCTTTTGATACATGTGGGAGACACAGAAATTTTGCGATTATTTATAAATCATTATACCTCAGAAAAATAAATGAGAACCATAGTGTACAGATAATACAGAAAAACAACATTCCAGCAATTAGCAATTTGAATCTTTGTAAATATTTAATTTGCTTTTTAAAAAGTCCTGTAAATGTGTGTTTGGGGGACTAGGTATATGTATGTGAACGCAGGCTTCCCTGGGATGCTGGATTCCCCTGGAGTTGGAGTTACAAACAATCGTGAGCTGCCATGGGGATTCTGGAAATCAAACCTTGGTCTTCTGAAAGAGGAGCAGATGCTCTTAACCATCGAGCCGTCTCTCTAGACTACACTCCAAACTTAAAAATAGATCTATTTCACTTTCTCCTTCTCTGATAATTAGGGGTTTTAACTTAAATCCCACATCCCCTTCTATTCATTATTCATTTTCCAACAAAATTCTCAACACATCATGAATTTCACAAAACACTCGACTTCCTCAGCTTGTTTGATGCACCTGTTCAAACGGTGTAGATCTGGAGGAATGCAGAGTAGAGGAACACACGCCATATTGACATGGTGGTCTTTTTAGCCATAAAGTAGCAATGGCCCCAGACTTGAATTCTGCAACTAGAGACAGGTGGAACGGCTAATTTTAGGGATGAGCTATGGACACACCACAAGCACAGCTGCAAGCAAGACTGGTGACCACAACAAAGGACTGTCTCTGTCTGCAGGACCAGAAGCAGACCTGTAGCTGGTCAGCCTCAGAGACAGCCCCAAGGTTGTTAACAGGGGCTTGTGTATTATGCATTATTCTGTGCCAGTGTGCCAGGGACGACGACCCTGAGGCAAGCATTCCCATCATAACTGCCTGCCCCACATCCATGTCGATGCTTTGGGGGAAGCTTGAGGGTTAACAGAGACATGGAAAAGAGACACCTGATAGAGTCCGGAAGGCATCTGGTAAATACAGAGATTCTCCGCATTTATTTCTCATTGACTTTGTATACTCAATCCAAAGAGGAGGGGGAAGACAAAGGCTTCTTTATCAAGATACAAAGAATAGAGTAGTTACCTTCTTAACACCCAAACATCAAGTAGCCACACCCTAGGTCAAAACAGCCACTTAGTAGCTTAGTCATAAGGTTTGACACCTTATGTCAAACCTCCTGTCAATAACCTTGAGGAAACAAGAATAGGCCTGAACCATGGTACCTTAGTCAAGGTGGAATGGAGCCACTTCTATGGCCTCCCACATGGGCCAGGCTTAATCTCAGGCTTAGTCTGGCACTTCAGAGCTTTACAAAATAAGACTCATTAAAAATTAGTATTGGTAAAGGCCTAATAGCATACATGGCAAATGAGATGAGAAGTCACCCAGTTACAAAAGTTTATATTATTCAATGCTGAATTTTATCTAGGGACTTGATATTGAGTGAAATGATCTATCAAAAGGTCCAATTTTGTTAAATTTTCTTTATTCACTCTAATTAAAATAGAATTATATCACTTCCCCTTTCTCTTTCCTATTTCCAGACCTTTCCACATCCCTTCCTTCTAGTCTCTTCTATGCTGCCTCACCCTCAAATTGACAGCTTATTTTTTTTACTATTGCCCATATATATGTATGTAAATATGTATCAACATGCACATTCATATGAACATGCATGAATACCCATGGAGAGAGGAGAAACAGCATACAATGCTAATTTAAAACCATAGTGATACAGAGCTATATTTGTTCATATATACTTTTTATATGTGTGTATATATATATATATAAGGTATGCTCTGTTATAACACTGTAACACCAAATAAAAGAAGAGAATATATATAAAGCAGATCATAAATTTCACAAGACCCTCAACTTTGTAAGCTTGCTCAACTTGCGTTTTGAAATTCTTTAGGTCTGGATGACTTTAGCATTAAGCAATCTATACATGCCGTGATATTATGGTGGTCCTTTTAGTAACAGGTAGCAATTGCCATATATGTGTGTGTATTTATTATTATGTATTTATGTATTATATATGAACAAATACATAAATACAATTTTATAGTATATATAATATGTGTATGTGTGTGCGCTGCATTTATTTTTATTTGTGTGCATATGGTTTCAGGGCTGACAACTTTGCACTGGATTCTCCAATCAGGGAGCTCATCCCTGGAAAGGGCTAATTCCGCCTCTCTGAGCCATCATTAGTTCTCTAGAGCTCTCTGTCTAGGGGTGGGGCCTATGAGATCTCCTCCCTTCACTGTAGCAAATCAGCGATCTGTCATGGTTCAAGTCTATTTCACAGAGCATTTATTCCTAAGTCAGGCAGTCACACAAGCAGTCCTCTAGTTCTTACAGTCTTTCTGCCCCTTTTCCTCAACGTTTCCTAAGGTTCCAATTTTAAAGTAGTGTGTAATTGTTTTACACTGTAACACCAAACAGGATAATTGCCTATACATTTACATTCCCGCATGCTTCTGTTGTTGTTATTTGTGTTCATTTCACCTCAGTATAAGTCAACATCGGATCCTCCTAAGCCCCAATCTCCAGATAGAAACAAACAAACTGTCCACTTCACCGTGGACACTTCATGTGAACACTCACCGGAGACATGGAAAGAGAATAAATTAGGCAAAAATCAGGCTTTTCTCTTTCTGAGACCTGAATATCCACAGAGAGGGGGAAACAGTGCACAATGTTAATGTAAGCAACACTGATACAGAGCACTATTTCAATCATAAAACACTCTGTACGGAGAGCGGAAAGCACATTGCTGACACTGACAATAGGGATTGAGATGATGCACCCACGGGACTGGCGCTTAGAGGTGTCTTCTGATCACCCAAAGTACTGTGGGAAAGACAGAGTATTTAAAGGAGAAGGGGAAGAAAGAAGATGGTAAGGAGAAAGCTGGAAGGAAAGAATGGGAGGGCTAGGGCGAGAAGGGATGGAGAATGGGGGAGAGAGAAAAGAAGCCAGAGAAAGAGGA